GCAGGGGAGGAAAACTGGGTAGCAGTGTCTCGGGAGCTGCTCGGAGTGCAGGCGGGCTGCCCTTCTGGGCTGCTTTATCGAGGGCCTGTGACCCAGGAGTGTGTGCAGCGGGCTGAGCACTCGCAGTGTTCCCTTCACTGAGCCTTAACTACACTGAACTGGGGACCCTTTCACAGCTCTGCGTCTGATAGCTGGAGAACATAACATTGAGCTTCCCCTGGAACAAGCTCCCTTTGGCGTGTGATGTGGTGCTGGCTTAGGTTTCTGATCGTGGCGTTATTTAGCTGCTGAGCCTCCCCTGCCTTTAAGAAGAATTGGTGTTTGGTTTTTTCCTGCTCCGGCGCTTGGCTCCCGTCAGCCTGCAGGTGGCAATGGGAACCTCAGTCCACTGAAACCAGCCGAGGTGCAGCTGGGTTTACCTCGCTGCCTTCTTAAGAATACAGTTAATCGTGTTGCACTAATACCGGTGTTCATCCGAGTGCTGCCCATCAGAAGGTTTTGCTGTCTCAGTTCCTGGAATGTTTCAGGCTGTGTCGATGAGATAAAGGTGAAGTTGAAGGTCGAAGTTTAAAGGTGAAGCTGTCAGTTGCTGGGCTGCAGTGGGCAGGGGGAGAAGGGTGGGGTATTGCTTTGCATTTATGCAGTGACACATGATGGATGTGAAAACGCCTGTTAGGGTAGGTGGTCTGTTCTGGAAGAAGATTGCTGCATGAGGTCTGGCCTTGAACAGTTGCTGGGAAAAGATTTCCTCCTGTAGTTCTTCCTTGAAGATGCCAGTGTCGGGTTGGATGTTCTTATGCTCTGCAGGCTGCTGTGAAGCCCTCTTGTAAATCACTTCAAAATGGACTGAACTCAGGGGAAAAAAACCAGCCTTCTCTGTATTGTCAGCACTGATTCCAGTGTGTGCCCCTGGGAAGGGGAGTGTTCCTGAAATAGTCACTTGAGGGGGAGGGAATGGCTGGCACTGAGTAGCCTGGCTTGCTTGGATCTGAAGGGTTTTGGTGTTCTCTGCCCTGAATAAGGAAGCTGAGTGTTCCTGTGATGCCTTATTCTCAGGGGGCTTGGTTTTCTCATTGTAGCTTCAGGTTTCAGTTGCATGTTGAAGTGCTCTGTGGCTTCCAGAGCAACCTGCAAATTAACTGCTTCGCTTCATTACAGACAAACCTCCCAATCTTCAAATTGAAGGAGTCGTGTGTGAGGAGACGATACAGCGACTTTGAATGGCTGAAGAATGAGCTGGAACGAGACAGTAAGGTGAGGCCTGGCTCAGACCTGCCTATTCCTGAAACTGGGACATGAGGGAACAGTTACAGCCATAATCTTGAGCTGCCCAGAGGAGAGGCTGTGGTGGTGGGTGCTTTTTGTGGCTCTGTCCACGTAATGGGGCTGGAGATGGGCATCAAACAGCAAAGGATATCTGATTGCAGGTGGCTGTTCTGCTGACAGGGTGGTTCTGTGCTTTTAGATTGTAGTGCCACCACTGCCTGGAAAAGCTTTGAAACGACAGCTCCCCTTCAGAGGAGATGAGGGCATCTTTGAGGAGTCTTTCATCGAGGAGCGGAGACAGGGACTAGAACAGTTTATTAACAAGTAAGCTTGGTGTCCTGGGTTTGCTGTGTGCTGCCTCGGGCTGCTGCTGATGGAAGGGGGCTGTGGGTTGACCATGAGGGAGTCTTGACCTGCTGCTGGCAGGTGCCAATGCTGAAGGGTGGTGCCTGCAGCTGGGTAACGAAACTGTGGTACTGGAACAAGTCCTGCCTCGAGTGTGGGTTGTGTTCCACGCTCTCTCCTGAGAGTGCAGTGAGCATTAGCAGAACAGATGTGCTGCAGAGACCCACCAGCACCGTAGTGTTGGATCAGGGCACGGCATGGGAGGGAACACTCTGTGCTCAGGCACCTCTTACTGGTCCTGTTGTACCAACAAGTGACCTTGGGCTGAGCATGGTGTGGATGTGCTGAGCCAGCTGCCTGACTCCCTGCTGCAGGGAACAGAGGTGTGGGGGTCTTGGTGTTAGCTGTGCTAACCTCCACATCTGATTTTCTTCCAGAATTGCTGGACACCCACTGGCACAGAACGAGCGCTGCTTACATATGTTCCTGCAAGAGGAGACTATTGATAGGAATTACGTCCCAGGGAAAGTGCGCCAGTAGGAGCACCTGGCACTGTCTTCCTCCATTCCACCCTCCCTCCTGCAAAAATGACATTTATTTTTACACTAAATCTGTCTTCTCTGAACCAGCTTTTCCTCTCTTGAACCTCCCAGTTTGTTCAGTATTTTCCTCTTTTGTAACTGGCAGCAGTTTGTTCTACTGGGCTGTGGTCTTGGCCTAAAGGTGTGAAGATTTATGCAAGTGAGCGTGTTGTCCCGTGTCTAGGGGCAGATGTGGATAGGTGTGGATCAGGAACTTGCTTATGGCGTTCTGGTGTAGGAGCTGCCTCTTTCCCTATACAGGAAGGTATGAGATGACCTTCGCTCCCTTGTCTGTGCAGCCCCAAGCATCTCTGCAGGAGACTTTGAAGAATAGCAGTTGTCATGTTGGTCAGTGATCGCATCAGGTATTAGCGTTTTAGTAAGGTTTATCCAAACCAGTGAGTAGGTGCCTGGGTGTGTCGGTCTCTCATCCAACCCCATTCATCCTGCATGAAACCCCCATTCTTCACTGTCTGGAAGTGCTGAGACCCAACACCTACTCGAACCCCGCACTCAGCCTCCTGCATTACAGACCTGTTTGGTGTGTTTGTGCCCCCTCCTTTCTAACGTGCTGCTGGCAGCTTGAGGGGTTTCCATGCTGTGTGCTCTCATGATGCTCTGTGTGGGCCGTTTGGCACGTGGAAGATGGCATAGTCTGGGCTGTAGCCATGTGTGCTGTGATGCCTTGGCCCAGGGTTTCAGAAATGCCACGGTCTGCAGTGCCATGGGCTGCTGTGCCGGTGTTCCCTGCAGCACCCTGCTGGGCTGAACCTGGTGCCCTTATCCTGCACCCCAGCTGCAGGGAGGAGCAGGCGGGTCTGGCTGAGGAGGAGCAAGAGAAGGCTGGTGGAAGCAGTTGTAGGGTGCATCCATGAATGGCTGCCACAGGAGGAGCTCAGCAGTGGGGCCTGGGGTGAGGCCACCTCTCCAGAAAAGGATGGTAGAAAACTGGTCAGCCAGTCCCAGGTTAGACATTTGCTTACAAAGCAGAAGTGACAATGGCTCTTGGTGTGTTCTCCCCTGTTCTGCAGTGAGCTAGGCAGTTGCTTGTGTGGAAGCAAGAACACACGACTGATCAGGGAAGCATTCAGAGCTTGAGGGGACCACGAGGCTGTGACTTGCTGCAGCAGAACTGTCCTTTGGAGGCTCCCCTGGCTGCCACAGCTGTGATGAGTGAGGTTGAGCCTCAGCTTGGGGCCTCCTCATGTCAGGGCTGGCTGGTTTATAAGCGCTTGGTCACTTTGTGGTGACACAGTTGAGCCTCTCTTGGAGCACAGACCTGCAGTGGCTGCCCTCCCTTTCCTGCCAGGCACGTTCCCTGAGGCCTTCCCAATGTCTCCTTCATTTCCTGGTGAGGAACTGGCACTGTTGATCAAGAGGTGGCTCATGGGAAGAAGTCGCGGAAAGCGAGAGGGAGCCGCTCCCAAAAGGGCCATGGGGCAGCTGGAGCCCAGTGCCGGTGGAGGTGGCCGTGCCCGCAGAGGGGCTCGGTCCCCGCCTTCCTGATGCTGCCGGTCACGCTCGGGGCGGCCCCTTCCCCTGCCCTGTGTGGGGCTGCCATCCACCCAGCTGTCTGCACCCTGTCCAGTGTAACGTCCCGGTGCCGTTCGCATTAAACCACTGTGAAGCCAAGTCTCTGCCTGGTCCTGGGGGCTGTTTTATTATCAGTGACTGGGGGCAGGCGTTGGGGAAGCAGCGCTTGGGACTCAGTGCTTCCCTGCACCGGAAGCCCTGCCCTGCTGCCTTCTCTGTGTGGTAGGCTGATGCAGGCACTTTGTTGCACTGCTTCGTGTGTCTGGGTGAAGGCCTGGAGAGTCCCGTTGTCTGGAGCTGGCAGTGCCCCGAGGTTGGGCTGGGAAGGCTGGCCTGGTCCTGCTCCCCTCTTGCCTCTGGCTGGCGTTCCTGGCTGCCCCAGAGTGGCACAGGCAGCCCCCACCCCTTCCCCGGGCAGCTGCCCTGGGGTGTGTGCAGGGGTGGCTGCCCAGGGAAGCTCTGTCAGCTGTGTCCCACCCCTGCTGGGCACTGGGTCGTTGGGGCAGCTCCAGTGCCAGCACAATCCGCAGCAGAGCGCTCTGCCACGGTGCCCGTGCACGGTGAACATAACTTCTTGGTGCGGATAGTACGGGCGTTGACTAGATAAGGTGCCCTGCTAGATTTCTCATGAGTAAACAGAAGGACCGTGCAGCCGAGCTTCTGCCTGGTTCTGGGGGCTGGCGGGACGGGGGAACCGGCGGGGTGGGACGGGGCGGGCGCAGGGCGGGGGCGGGCGGCGGTGCCCGAGCGCGATGTGGCGGCCGGACCCGTGGGCAGGCTCGGGGGCCAGCCCCGGCTTGCCGGGCTGCCCGGACCTGCTGCAACACGCCCAGGCGCTGCACTCGCAGGACTCCCCCCTCTACCTCAGCTTCTTCGAGGATGAGTGCCGCCTCATCGCCGACCGCCTGCGCCTCGCCGAGGCCGCCGCGCCCCCGCGGGACCCGTGGGAGGCCGACGAGTCGTGGGCCGAGCCCGCCGGGCCCGTCACCTCCACGCCGCTGCCCGCCCCGAGCGACGGGCGCGCCCCGGACTCGGGCACAAGCACCTGCGAGGCCGCTGCGGCCCCGGGCCCGGCCCGAGCGGAGCCCGTGTGCCTCCCGCAGCCCGCGGCCGGCGCTGGCCCCGGGGCCCACCCGCTCTCCCGGGCCCGGCGCGGTGCCGCGCAGCCCTCGGGCGGCCGTCCCGGCCCCGCTGCCCGCTCCCCGGGCCGCGGCCGCGCCAGGCTCGCTCCGACCCGCACACGGGCCTCGCAGGGGCTGCAGCTCCCCTCGGCCGGCACGGCGGGCTCGGCCTGCCCAAAGCGGCTCCTCCAGCCCGCAGGTAAGCGGGGTCGCCGCGGGGAGCCCCGGCACGGCCGCTGCCTGCCCGGCGCTGCTGAACCCTCCCTCTCTCCCCCAGATACCAGGCTGAAGGGGATGCCGCCTGCCAGGTCCAGGGTTAAGCATCCCGGCGGGGCTTTGAAAAAGGCACAACCTTCCGCCCTTCCCAAACCCGCCCCCCGGGACACACAGATGAAAAGTAATTCCTCACCTGTCAGCTGGCCTCATGCGAAGCGGGGAAGCATGGGGGGGCTGATGCTGCGGCAGGAGGGGAGAAGGGGGTTGGCCTGGGCTGCAGCATGGCCAAGGACAGAGAAGGAGGAGCGAGGAGTCCTTGGGAGCAGCGCAGGAAGAAGCTTAGGTAACATGCTCGTGCCCCAAGTGATGTTAACATTGGCCTTCCGCCAGTGTGGGCTAGCAGCCCTTTGGCTTTGGAGCCCTCACCCCATGGTCTTGTGGTGGTCGTGCCCGTGGGCCTAGGACAGGCAGCCTGGCTAAGCCCCATGCTGCCTGAAGAGTGGTGCGGTGTGGCTGCTTTGGAGCAGCAGCCTCTGTGCCTAATGTTCACTATAGCTGCTGTCAAGGCTGGGGATCACAAACAGCCCTCATCAAGACTACCGACAGCAATTCCTGTCCTGGCTTCCCGCTCCTTACTGCGGCCTCTGGGAAGAGCTACTTCATCCCAGCGCCTTTGGATCAGTATGGGTGAGTCTTGGCAGAAACATCAGAGGTGGCGGAGTTGTGGCGGGAGGGGGAGCTGCTGCCATGGGAAGAACATTCAGATCTCAGCTACAGGGTCAAAGCTGTTTCTGGGGAAAGGACTGGAGGGGATCGCGTGTACTTAGGCTCAGAGGAGGAGAGGTGAAATGCGGAGCAGCAAGGCTAGGTGAAGTCCCTTTCCCTGGAGAGGCACCCAGCAAAGAGACTGAGCAAATCTGGTGCTTTAGCTCATCCATAGGACAGGGAGCGGCCCTCGTCAGTCAGGGCACTGTCTGAGCAGGAGTTGATGCTCTTTGCTTTATTTCCTGGGCCTCCCTTCAGGATCAACTACACAGGAGCTTTCAAGGTGTGAAGATGCAGTCCCTGCTGAGCAGGTAAGAGCCAGCTATGTCCTGGCAGCACAGAGCACTGTTCAACACTGTTGCTGGGGCCAGCTATGCCAGAGGTGGAAGATGATGGGACCTGGGGCTGCCAATTTCCTGGATGGCACATGAGCTGATTTAGCCTTTCCCTAGGGTTTACACAAACCCATGTTCATTTACTGCATGGCTTTACCACCTCTCCAGTGCTCAGGGGATTGCAGGCTTCTTTCCAGTTAAATTTTTAAGGGCCTTTTGAAACATGCAAACCTCCTATGGCTTGTGTTGTTGCTTTTATACCTCCTGACATGTTGGACATGTACCCAGGATGGAGTGAGCAGAGCTTGCAGCAAGGCGAAGCTCCCAAGCTGTGAATTCTTCTACCTGAAAAATATGTTTGTGCATTTGCCAGCAGTTTTAGGGCTCTTCACTCTGTGGCTGCGACCTGCCAAAGGCATTCTGGTTACACACAGGTGCTGGCAGGTGCTCACTGCTAAGTGGACCGTGGCTCCTTCAGCAGGCACTGCTGCTGTGATGGACACCCTGTGGCAGTGATCCCCAGGGTGCTGGGCTTGGGGTGTTGGGTGGGCTGCAGTGCTCCTCCAGTGGATGGGCTGTGCTGTGGCTGAGCTGCTGGTCACTGCGTGGGGGTGACCACTCCCTGCATCACAATTACATCCTGCCCTTGCCAGTCTGCAGGTGATCAGCTGTCCCAGGAGCTGGAGCATGTGAAAAAAGAGCTCGAGCGAGTGAAGAGGGAGCTTGGTATGTGGGTCTGACTGTTCTGAGGGCTGCAGGACACCCACAATCCAGGTGACATCCCCTGTGCTCCTCCCTGGAGCCCACAGCCTGCAGCTCTGTGGGGATGGGGCTGGCTTCTTGTTTAGGGGGTAGAGCAGGATCTCTGGTGTCCTAGAGGGTCTGGGGCTGAGGTGTTCAGGGTGGGCTGAGCACAGCCCTTCTTGCCTCCTGCCTGCAGCTGACAAGACTGCCCAGTGTGAAGCCTATCACCAGACAATCTGCTCCTTGCAGGCTCAGCTCAGAGCAGCAGGTACGTGCCCTCACTGCAGTGAGCCCTCACCTCTGGGCAGGCTGCAGGGATGCTCTGGTGGTCCCTTGCTGTTGTAACCGAGGGCTGCCGGGTGGAAGGGACACAGCTCGTGGCCTTTCCCATGGGTCAGGTTGACGCTGCTGTTGCTTCCCAGGAGTCTGTGTGGAAGATGCAGCAGTGTTCAAGGGTGGTGACTTGGGGAGAGATTGACAGCTGGCACATGGGCACATATCCGTCTGCCTGAGCCTCTGGGCCAGTGATACCTGTAGAACTGTTGAATGAGTGAATTTTTTTAACTGCTTGTATTTAAAAGAAATAAAATAAAGGTGTCTTTTCCAGTGGTGCTTGCTGTCTGCTGGGGTAGGGGCAGTGCCCAGTGCTGCCCACTGCTCCCCAAATGCTGGGCAGACAGGGCAGGTCTGTGCCCAGTTGTGGGTGGTTTTGCTCAGCCAGAGACTTGAGGTCTGCTGCAAGGAGGAGCTTGGGTTCTGGCAGATGGAGGCACAGCAGGGCTCTGGGGAAGCCTTTCTGGACAAACCTGGTGCTTCCAGGTGGGAGAGAGGCAAAGCTGGAGAGTTTTGTAAAGCTGGACTTGATAGTCCTTATGGGTCCCTACCAACCTGAGATATCCTATGCTTTAGTCATGGAAGGTAATGAGGGTATCCAAGGGATCTGCTTCTGCAGGGCTTTTGGCCCCCTTTCTGGGCTAGAGCCATCTCTTCCCCTCCTTTATGCTGGCAACATATGCCCTGCCACTGTTTGCCTTCCTGCTGCTCCTGTTGGGACATGCCCTTAGGTCGCTCCATGCCTCTGCCTGCTCCCAGCCGTTGGTCTGTGCTGCTGGCTCAGGGCCCTGAATGACAGGGGTGGAGAACGGTAAGACTGGGAGGTGAGAATGGGGTACTGGGAAGACAGATGTGGAGCTGCCTGTGAGGTCTGGGAACTGAAGACATGTTCAATGCCAAGTGCTGCTCCCACCGTGAAACTGAAACTATCTCCCAGCACGTGCTATTGCAACAGGGTTTCTGGGAATAGGATGATTTTGGTGTCATCCACCCCCTCACTGCTCTGGTACCCACCCAGTGTCTGTCTGTCTGTCTGCCTGGGCCAGGGTGACCCCCCCTTTGAGTCCTGCTGTGCCCATGGTGCTGCTGGCCCTGCCTGGGAGCACCCTCGGTGATGGTGCTGCCCAGCTGGGTCCTCGCCTTCAAGAAGGAGCGGGAAGCATCTGGGCTCTAACAGCCCAAGGAAACGGAATTCTGCAACTTGATCTTGAGGTCACTTAGTTCCCAGTGGGGGTCATGGGGCCGGAAAGGGAAGGGACCTTGACTGGCAGGGGCACAGCCTGCCTGGAAGTGGCGTTCGCAGAGTGCGTTGGTGTTTCATCACCGTGAGGTCATCGCAGCTGCTGCGGTGGTATTTCAGTCATCCCGAGGTCGTCTTCCGAGGAAAGAAGCGGCTGGACCTGTTGCCTCGACAGTGGCGCCAGAGCAGAGCCTTGCCTATGATGCCAGGGAGGGGCTGGTTCACCCTCCCGGCATCGCTGCCAGTTTGAATGGGTGCTCCGCTGCCAGTTTGAATGGGTGCTCACGACATGCGAGCACTGGATTGCATCAGGTCGGGCTGCTGAGCGGCGGGTACGGGCCTGCGTGCTGGCGAGGAGGGTGCTGGCTCCGCCTCTCTCAGGGCTGCCGGCCTGGCAGCGGAGCGGTTCTCCCGACGTCTCTTAGGGATGCCTGTTGCTCCCAGAGTTAAGGAGGCTGTAGCGGAGCGCTGTCCGGGCCCCGCTCCCTGCGGAGCATACAGGGATCGTAGCACAGTCCCTCTCCATGGCTTAGACTGAGCTCCGCTCGCAGCCCCCATAGGAGGGCTGGCCTCGCCTCCTCGCCTTGCTCCCAGCCCCGACAGGGCAAGGCCGGGGCAGGCTCTACCGTCGTGGCACATCTGGCCCCGGGGGACCCTCAGCTGCCCCCTCCGTGGCCTTTGCCGAGGGAACATGGCTGATGCCACCGACCGCACGGTGCCTTGCCCAGTTCTCGGACCTGCCGCTCGCAGCAGCCACACTCCCGGCGGCCGACCGGAGAGCCGTGCCCGGTCCTCGCCCCGCTACAACTTATTACTTGAATTTTTATTTTTTAAAAACTCTGACGATAGGGGCGGCCGGCTGGCCAGTGGTGGGCAACCGGGCACCCGTGGGGCTGGGAGGGCACAGGCTTCTCGGCAAAGGGCGGGCAGCTGTTCCCGCTCGCCCGCTGCTTGCCCCGCGGCGGCTCTGCCAGAAGCAGGGGCGGCTGCCAGGGGTCTCATTTCTAATGACTCCTTTTGGGTGCGTGCCGTCATCAGCCGGGCGGAGCCGTCCCGCCCTTCATTTCAGCTCCGGCGCCCGGCGGCTTGTCCCCAGAATAAGCGAAGCAGAGCTGATCTGAACTGAACGGGATCGCACCGGAGCGAGCTGAGCTGTACCGTGCCGAGCCGCGCCGCCGGTGAGTGTCGGCGGGCGCTGCCGCCGCGCCGGGAGGGGCCTTGGCGGAACCGGTGCCGCGCTTGCATCAGCTGCCGCCCGCACGTGGCGGACCGGCCGCGGCGCCCCGTTCGGGCTTTTCCATCCCCAGGGCTGCTCCAGACACCCCGGGGGGACCGAGCCTGACTGGCACTCCTCGGGACCGGAGATGCCCCCGCGGGGGCTGGGGGAATGGTCCCGAGCGGGGGCTGGCGGCCCCCGGCACCTGCCCCGAGTCGCGGCGGGGTGCGGTGGGCACCGGGATGCGGTGGGCAATGGGATGCAGCAGGAGGCTCCTGTTGTCGCCGAACACGTTGCTTCTCCGCTCCTCTGCCCGCCCGTAGCTCGCTGCGCGCTCTCCGTGTCGGGTGACAACGTGGCTTTCAGCGAGCCTGCTCCGGCCGTGGGCCGCGGCTCCCCCGGTGCCCGCCGAGCGCTGTCCTTCGGCCGGCTTTGACAGGGACTGGTGCTCGTCCGGATGCTCAGCGCGTTCCCAACATCGGGCAGGGCGGGAGAAGGGGAGGCTGCCCCCCATCTTCCTCGGTGCCACTCGCGCCTTTTTTCCTCGGCCATGCTCTCGCAATAGGGGCGGAGCACGTTTCTGCTACTAGCCCCTTCCTTGCAACTCCGGAGCTCACTCTGGTGTCAGAAATCCTTGGAACAATCGAGCAGACCTGGGGAAGGCAGCCGGAGCTCTCCAGGTAGTGGCTGGGGAGGGTGCCAGTGCTGGGGCACTTGTTCCCTTGAAACCTAGCCCAGAGGCTTAGCAGGCTGGGACAACTCCTTGGGCCAAGGCTGAATGTGACACGTGCCAGCTCGGGAGGAGGTTTCTTCAGAAATGGTTCTGTGGAAGTGTGAGCTCGGGAGGAGGTTTCTCCAAAAACAGGCAGGTTTGCTAGTTATGAGGAAGCAGCCACTGGTGGCTGCCACTGGTGGCTGCCCCTGTGACCCTAACTGATAACCCCCCTCTATGGAAAAGAGTCACAAAGTTATCCTTTTGTAGTTACACTGATCCATGCAGCGCAGCACTGGTGCTGCCCTGGGCACCTGGTTGGGATGTGTTTCCTGTCTCAATGAAAGGAGAAGCCAGCAGGGAGAAGATGCTGGTGGGTGGATGGTTCAGTGATGGGCACAGGTGCCAGCCATGGCCGTGGGCATTGGGAGTCACTTTCCTTGCGGCTCCTCTCACCCTGTGCTGCATGCCTGCTTCACAAGGTGCTCATCTTAAGAGCCTTTCAGGGATGGGTGGCTCCAGTGAGCCAGAGGATGCTGTTGCTCACACGTTCAGGGTGATTACAGCCTGCAGAGCTTGCAGGCAGCTTGGCAAGAACTGTCAGCAGGCAAGGGGTTTGTGCTGGGGGCCTGTGCTGTGTCTGGTTACACATCCCTGTCAAGGGTGTGGTGCAGAAGCTGAAAGTGAAAAAGGAATGGCTGCATCCCAGTGACTCAGCCCAGCCTGCCAAATCCTCTGCCAGAGGAATGCTTTGTCTCCCCACCACTGCTGATGTGCACACCCACACACCAGGCCGAAGGGATGCACCCGCAGTTGAGTTTGGGCTGAAGGATCTACAGGCTGCCAAATCAGTGGGGAGTTGCTGGAAAACAGTGGGCAAGCTCTGGGACGTGCCCAGGGGCCCCGTGGTTGGGACCATACAGTGCTTGAGCAATGAGCCTGTTTCCCACCATGGACTCAGTGGGTCCATCCCTGGCTCACTGTTCTGGTGCAGGAGCTGTGCAGGTGGGCTATGTGCAGCCCCACAGTGCCTTGGAGGGACCCACCAGAGTCTCTACCCTACCAGCGTGGCAGGGGCTTGGTGCTGATGGGTCAGCTGGGAGCAGGGTCCTCTGGGCATCGCTGCCTGCCCTGCTCCCTGCAGCGTTGGTCTTGCTGCCTGAGGGACACTGAGCTTCACATTCCTATGGTCCCTTCTCTTGCAGGGCTTTTGAGCAGCTGAGCACTGCCCAGGAGAGGACAAGATGTTCAGGGAAAAAATGACCAGTATTGGGAAGAAGCTGATCCGCCGGCGCGTGGTGGATCTGAGCTCCGACGACACGCGTTTTGCCCGCTGCCTCTCCACACTGGACCTCATATTCCTGGGGGTGGGCAGCACGCTGGGGGCCGGCGTGTATGTGCTGGCTGGGGAGGTAGCCAAGGAGATGGCCGGTCCCTCCATAGTTCTCTGCTTCCTGGTAGCTGCTTTCTCATCGGTACTCGCTGGACTCTGCTATGCAGAGTTTGGGGCCCGTGTCCCCAAGGCCGGCTCTGCCTACCTCTACAGCTACGTCACCGTTGGTGAGATCTGGGCTTTTACAACCGGCTGGAACCTCATTCTCTCCTATGTGATAGGTACGAGGCCAGGCAGCATGCTGGCATGTGTGCCTGGACTCTTTTCAGCACCGTGCTGTCAGCATGGGGGGGCGGTTTCTGGGGGTGGCATGTGGTGCTGTGGGGTGGGATCAGCAGGGAGGTGGGTGCTGAGGTGGGAGTGGGCGATGCCACTCTGCCCTGGGCTCGGACTGATGCACGGATTTGCCATCGACAAGGTACGGCCAGTGTGGCTCGAGCTTGGAGTGCGGCATTTGACAACATCATTGGCAACCACATCTCCACCTTCTTCGCCAACAAGACTGCACTGCACCTGCCGGGGGTGCTGGCCGAGCGCCCGGACTTCTTTGCACTAATCCTGATTGCGCTGCTTACTGGTGAGTGTGCATAGGAGCGGCTCCGTGGCACTGTGGGTGGTGGCTTGGGAGGCCCAGTGGGTCCCCACTCACCTCTTCTGTCCCCACAGCACTGCTGGCCTTTGGTGTCAGCGAATCCGCCCTTGTGAACAAAATCTTCACGGCGGTGAACCTGTTGGTGCTGAGCTTCGTCATCATCGCTGGCTTCGTCAAGGGGGACATCAAGAACTGGCAGCTCTCGGAGGAGGACTATGTCAACCTCACGCACCCGGACCGACATGATGACATGTAAGGAGAGCAACTGTGCCAGGCCAGGGTCTGGCACAGGGCAGGCATAGGCCCCACTGTCCATGGACCCCACGGCAGCTGCTCTCCTCCCTGCTTTCCAGGAAAACAGCCTTTGGCTCCGGTGGGTTTGTCCCCTTTGGACTGGAAGGGATCCTGACCGGCGCTGCCACCTGTTTCTATGCCTTCGTGGGCTTTGACTGCATTGCCACTACAGGTACTGCCTTGGGTGAGGGTGGTGTGGGCATTTCCCCTGCACAGCCAGCAGCTGTCTGGGATCTGTTGGGGAGGATGCTCCATGGCGTGGGAAACAGCTGGTCCCACCACCCCTGGGAGGTTTCCCTGCAGAGTGTCTCCAGCTGGGCCAGGCGAAAGGGCTCACAGCCTGGCCTGCTGCAGGAAAAGGGGTTCATTACACCACATGGTGGGAGCAGGGCTGCACTCTGCCTGTGCAGGCAGCTCCTGGAGCAGCAGGGAGCCTTTTGACTGCTGAGCCGAGGCTGCAACAGTCCTGGGAATTGTTAGTGCCTCCTAGTAATTTCCCAGCCTCAAGCAACCTTTTTCTAAATGACTGGGTTCGTGCAGAACTGCTGCTTCCTGGAACACAGGGAGCCCTCTTAATTTCCTCTCATTCCTCCAGAAATCTACTTAGTGGGTGGCTGGTACAGGCTGTTCTGCCTGACCTGCCTGTGCCTCCCTGCCCCCAGGGGCTGCCCAGCAGCCGCCTCCTTTCCTCCTACGCCACTGCCGAGCCCCTTGCTGGGAGTGTGGCGCAGCACATCTTTGCAAAGCTGAGGTGTATGGAGAACCTCTATTCAGCAGGCTCTGTAGGGACAGGGAGGGGTGGGGGTAAAGAGCTGGCATGGCCAGGGGGGCTGCCAGGCCGCTGCATCCCTGGAAGCCAAGGCTGCAGCCACACGCCTCTGCTCTCAGCAGTGCCAAAGCTTCTGCCAGTGCAGCAGCACGGCTGGGGACCCCTCTTCTCCAACAGCCCCTGCCTGCTGCTGCCCAGTCCCATGCTGCCATGCCTTGAGGCTAGCTGCCCCATGCTGTGCCATGGAGTGGGGACACATGCTCTCTCTTCTCTCTGTACAGGGGAGGAAGCCAGGAACCCACAGCGTTCGATCCCCATTGGCATCATTGTGTCCCTCTTCATCTGCTTTGTGGCTTATTTCGGGGTCTCTGCGTCCCTGACTCTCATGGTGCCCTACTTCCTTGTGAACAAGAACAGCCCTCTGCCCGAGGCTTTCAAGGCAGTTGGCTGGGAGCCCGCCCGCTACGCTGTTGCCGTCGGCTCACTCTGTGCCCTCTCCACCAGGTAGGACTGGCTCTATTTCTGGCACTGCCTGGCCCAGCGCAGGGATCGGCAGCATGCTTCCAGGCTGGGCTGGGGACTTGCTCTGCCCAGCTTCTGTCCTGCTCCTGGCACACAGCCGGTCCCATCCCTGTCTGGGTGGTGGGGGTGGACAGCTTGCCTGGCAGGCCCTAAGCCATCTCTCCCCATGGCAGCTTGCTGGGCTCCATGTTTCCCATGCCCCGAGTGATCCATGCCATGGCAGAGGACGGGCTGCTCTTCAAGCCCCTCTCCAACATCAACGATCGCACAAAGACCCCTCTGTTAGCCACCATCACCTCGGGGCTCTTCTCAGGTAAGGCTCCTGGCCACCGCCTCACACTCGGCCCCGCAGTGGTCTGGAGCTGTGCTCATGCTGTGTGTCCTCATTGCAGCGGTGTTGGCCTTCCTGCTTGACCTGAAGGACCTGGTGGACCTCATGTCGATCGGCACGTTGCTGGCCTACTCCTTGGTGGCAGTGTGTGTGCTCATCCTCCGGTGGGTGACTCTTTCTGTGTGGTGGTGCCCAGGGTGGATGTTCCTTGCATTGACCCTGGGGGATTTTAGCCACAGCTTTTTCCTGGGGGCATGCAGCCTGGGGAAGTGTCCAGCCCCCAAGGTGGAGGCTGCTCATGAGAGCCTGTGAGGTGTGGTGTCTCTGGGCATATCCTTGTAGTGGCTGTCTTGGGGCCACTGCTGGAGCAGCAGGAATATGGGGGTGCTGCCCACTGTCCCCCTGGGCTACGAAGTTCTGTGGGCTCTGCTGCAATCTTTTCCTACCTGCTCAGGTACCAGTCTGGGCAGCTGAACTCCCCAAAGGCCATGGAAATGCTGGAGCTGAATGGGAACGAGGAGGAGAGGGTGATCATGAATCCAACCATCACTGCTGCCAGTGCCCAGCAGAAAGAGACACTGTCCTGTTCAACACTCTTTAACCCACCTTCGGACACCCCCACTGCGCTCTCGGGGCGCATCGTCTATGTCTGTGTCTCGGTCATTGGTGAGTGAGTGGGAGCTGGCAGTTGATGTCCCCTCCTGCCAGGGGCTGGAGTGTTTTTGGCGCGTCTCTGCAGAGCTGGGAAGGGATGGAGAGGGGCCAAGCGGAGGAGAGGGGCCAGGCAGCACAGGCTGCCAGCTGCTGTTGGCAGTGCCAGCGGGTGCTGAACCCACCTGCCCTGAGCAGGGTGCCAAGTGCAGGGTACAGCTGTGGTTTTTGGGGTGCACGGGGGTTGTTGGTGGACATGGGTGCTAAGCCAAGCATGTGTGGGTGGTCACGGGAGATCCCTGCGATGAGCCCGGCCCATGCTGGCCACCAGTGAAGGTGGTCCCCAACCCCTTGAGAGTGCTTTGGCTTGGTTTGCTTTGGCTTGTCCCTCAGTGGTTCCATTGTGCAGCCAGAATGGGGTGGCTCAGCCAGGTCTGGGTAAGTGTCAGAGCTGGATCTGAGCCCAGCTGAGTGCAGGTTCCCTGCAGCTTGCTGGGTTGGCAAGCACCTCCAGCAAAGCGCTTTCCTGAGGCTTTGGGGTGGATGTTGGAGACAGCAGGTGCTGGCCCCTTACCTGACCAAGAAGAATGGGTGCCTCAGCCCAGCCGTTGGTGAGGCTCAGGGTCCCAAGGAGGCCACAGGCAATGCAGCCCCCTGACTAACCCCTCTCTTGCAGCCACGGTGGTCACAGGCCTCTGCGTGTTCCTGACCTTCAGTGTGGCTGCTCTGAAGGACACCAATGTGGGCTGCATCGTGGTCCTGGTGCTGCTCCTCGTGTCTTTGCTCATTCCCACCATCATCATTTGGAGGCAGCCGCAGAGCAACGCGCGATTAAACTTCAAAGTGAGTGCAGCCCCCTGCAGCTTGGCATCTGCAGCCCCATGGACTCCAACAGGATCTGGGCATTGCAGGGTCTGCCAAGGCTTGCTGCCAGGCAGTTACCAAGAAGGCCCAGAGCCCTCAGACCTCTCTGAGGTGCAATCCCCAGTGTGGAAGTGCCCGGGTATCCTCTGAGTGTGGTGGGGATGGGGTCCCTCCATGGCCACCAGCATCCTCAAACCCGGCCTGGTCCCTCAAGGCACAGTTGACACAGCACAACTTGTCCCTTGCAGGTACCTTTCCTCCCATTGCTGCCAATCTTCAGCATCTTTGTTAACATCCTGCTGATGGTACAGCTGAGTCCCGGCACCTGGATACGTTTTGCCATCTGGATGGTTTTGGGTAGGTGTGCTGTGGCAGGGAGCACAGTGCCTGCAGGTCTCTCCTTGGGGGGATGTTAATGCTGGCAGCCCACCATTGTGCATTTCATTATGGAAACTGTCCTGCAGGTTTCGGGATTTACTTTGGCTATGGGATTCGGAACAGTGTGGAAGGGAAAAATGCAGAAGAAAAGCCTCTTCACCATCCTGGCCTGGACCTCAGCCCTGGGGCTGCTGCAGTCTGAAGTACTAGGCACAAACACTCCATGGATCCCTGCCAGTGTTCCCGCTTGGGGACAAGATCATGATCCGCACAGTGCATCCATCCCCTCTCCTATAGGGAGTCCCAGAGTCAGGACTGCGGAGCTTGGTCATGTGCTGCCCTTTCCCCTCACAGAGCAGAGGTCTCCAGGCTGGGTGGGAGTGCTGGTGGGCCAGGCCTGGTCTCTGTCCTGCTGAGGAGCAACAACAGTGGTACAGCCCTCCTACCACAGAAACTGCTTTCCCTGTGCACTGGAGGCCCTACATGACGGTACAGTGGTGCAGTGGTACTTGTTCAATCACGTTGCTGTGTTTACTGCCTCCTCTCTGGGGTTTCCAAGCGCTAGCTGTGTACATGGCATCCATGTCCGTAGCTGGGCAGAGGGGCTTGCTATGAATCGTTCTGATCCTCACGGAACTGCCAGCAGACCGGTACTCCCTGCCAGCACAGGACTGAGCTGGCCTGTGATTTGCATCCTCTACTTGAGCCTTGTGCTGCCCTGGCCATGTTGCTTAGCTCCAGATGTCCCCCCGCAGTGTAGCTGTACTGCTGTCCAACCTCACATGTGTTTGTACAGTTTACGTTTTAATGCCAGTTTTTATACCTCATAAATATTTTTTAAGTTCTTGTCTCTGTTGATCTTGCTGCATCTCCTGTTAATGCTCTGTGGTCATGGGCCCCTGAGCAGGTCCCTATATGCTACCGTGGTGGGTACCAGGCTGGTGCCAGTGCAGAACAATGCCTGGCTCCAGCTAGGCTGTGCTGGGTGAGCTCCCTGCCCAAAATCTGCCAGCTGGAACCACCCGCCCTTGCACTGTCCCCTGGGAGGGGACAGTGAGCTTGTGAGCCAGGAGCTGTGGAGCAGTGCTCCAGGCCAGCTCAAACCAGTGCTGCTGGTACCTAGGGGCAGGACAGCATCCTGTCATGGCCCTGCCTTGCAGGCCCTGTGCTGTGAGGGATTGTGTCACCAGGTCCCAAAGCAGCGGATGCAGTAAAGATCTTGAAAATATCTCCTGGAGATGCCAGCAATGATCTGCAGAAGAAGCATGGCCAGGAGCTGGGCTGCATCCATGTGAGATGATGATTTTCCAGATTCTGGTCTGGTCTAAATCAGACCTGACATTATTATTCAAGATGAACTAATTTAGGGCAGATGGATCGTGCTTGGTTTTGGCATCTCTCCCTGTTTATTGGCAATGGCACAGGGTCACTGCACGGTCAGCAGCAAGGCACCCGCACCATCAGCTCTGCTTGGCCCCTGTGCTGGAGCTGTGAGCCCTGCCCAGGGCTGTGCCTGGAGTAAAAGGGGCTGCAGCACCTACTCTGACCCCAGGCCAGGCACTCACTGCCCTGGTGCCCTGGGCTGGGGTGCCCTGCCAGAGCCTCAGGCTCCAGCCCCCAGGGGCAGCCGGCTCCTGGCACTGGCTCCTCAGGGCTTCTTCCAGCCCTCCTAGTCAAGCTGGTGCCTTGGTGTGCCACACTGTTTCACCACCCCACCTTGTGGGTATCTTCTGGCCGGGGGCAGTACATGGGGCCCTGCTGAGCCCTGAGCCTGCAGACCCCCTGGCACCCGTGTCCCTAGTTTCAGGGGCTGTTACCCAAGGCTTTCCCCTCCTGTGCCAGTCAGGGAGGGCCATTTTCTGGTTTAAGAAAACTCACCAAAAAAGCAGATCCTGGTCTTGCTGCTGAGGGGCCTGTGACGACCCACCCTTTAGGGGAAGGAAGCGCCCAGCCCCACACACAGCTGCCTGTGGTTTGCCCTGACAGCCCGGGCACTTCCACCCAGGCTGGCAGCACAGGCTGCTGCCCAGCCGTGGGCCTTCCCCAGGGCAGCTCCAGGCCTGGCAAAGCACCAAACACACCTGAAGCCCTCCCCTGTTTTTGCCTCTGCCACTGCACGGGCACCATCGCGGGCAGGGGCAGCAGGGCTGGCTCCTGGCTCGGCGCTGCCTTGCTGGCTGTAGTGCCGAGGGGGACACTCAGACAGACTCCCCTGGGAGATACAGCCAGGGCTTGGTTTGTGATCTCCCTGTTGCCATTTAAATCCCCCTGGATTTAAAGGGGAGCTGGAGGGCTGCTGGCTCCTGCTGTGTTTGGTTCAAGCTGTGGTGAGGAGGCAAGAGTTCGGGGCAGCATTGCAGTGGAGGTCTGGCTGTGGTCACCGACTGATGACAGTGTGCCTTGGCCACAGGCCATGCCAGGGGTGCAGTGCTGGTGGGTCAGGGTGCCAGGGGTGCAGAGTGGGTGACTCTCAGCCCCCCTCCCCATCTGGCTCCACCCTAATCCCGTGGCATTCTTAATTTCATATCCAGCTGCCTGTGGGGGACACAGAGCTTTCCTGGTGGAGCCATCACAGCAGCTCTCTGCACACCAGCTGCTTGCCATCTCCGGGGGGGCTGCTGAGAGGAGCCTGTGTGGCCACACAGGCTGGAGGCAGGGTGGAGATGGGGAACTGTGACACTGAGTCCTTGGAGGAAGAGCTGTCACTGCAGAGGCTGCCCCTGCACTGCTCCCCTACCAGAAAGGGGGTGGCCCTGGCACACGGAGATGAAGCAGCAGATTAAATTTTAAATTGGGTACAATAATCTGGTTAGGAGTTAAAATAGGCTGGCAAGTCTGTTCTGCTCTGTGACACCAACTGCTTCAACCTGAGGAGTTAATGTGCCACCTTCTTCCCTGTAAAACCAGTGAGCGACTGGATACCATCAGATTCCCTTCCCTGCAGATGATCAGCTGGCGGAGCAGTGGCTGCTGAGTGGGACAAATCCATCAGCAGGACACGAGTTCTGGAATCCAGGGAATTGACTCCAGGCAGATGGGGTCACCGGCATGATGGAGCAAACTGTTCAGCTCCCGACATTTCTGCAACAGCCCCGGGTTGTGCTGTACGGGCCTCGCTGTCCGGAAGAGCTCCAGGAGATCAAAGCCTGTGAGATTCCTATCACTCCTCACTCACCTCGCTCCAGACAGGTCCCAACCCTTCTGCTTTCTGTGGTAAGATTAAGCATGCATGACCCAGTAGCTGGCAGGAGGCTGTGTGCATCCGATAATCCTCCTGGCCCTGAGCTCTCTAATCATGCAGGCTTAATGCTCGCCTTGCTTTGCCTTTGCAGGCCTGGCATGATGGCTTGCTGCCAGATGGTCGCTCTTCTCTTACTCTCCTTTCTTCTAGTGCTGCAGCTGGTGACCTGGTTCCCACTCGTGTTCCCTGTTCCACACTGCAACCAGCCAAAGGGTGGTTTCTGTCAGTCTGTCCTGGAGCTCATGACATGCTGTGACCACGCCTGCCCCAGCAGGACCTCATCCTGATCCCTCAGAGCTTCCAGGAGTACCTCTCTTATGAGACAGTGTATCCCAACAGCACCCATCCCCTCACCGTGGTGGAAGTGAGCCCTTGAGTGAGTGGTGTGGGGAGGAGGGGGCGGAGGCAGCATGTGCAGTGCAAGCAGCAGATTTATGGTGCAGACAGGCGGTTTTCCATCAGTGGGGCCACTTCCTGATGAGCTCCCTCTTCTCTGCCACCATCAGGATCCCCTCAGGCTGCACGGGTGTGCTGGTGTTTGAAGACACATCCCCATCACTGCCTACTGCCTTCACCATGGCAAAGTCTATGTAAAGGGGGTCAAGAAGATCCAAGTGAGTTTCCTGATGCTGGCGCAGGGCGCTGGCAACGGGATGGGGAGGCTGGTGATGCACATGGGCCCATCCTTGGTCAGTGTGGGCTATGACTACACCCTTTTGAGGCTGCACAGGCCATGCTGATGCCTGCACATGAAGCTGATGGCAGCTCTGGCAGCAGAGAAGATGACTGGGAAGAGGAGTGATTTCTCAGGGTTTGACGGTGACCTGCTGGGTGAAGTGGTCTGCCCCTTGTGTGGGAAGGAGGATGAGATGGTCCTTCTCATCTACTGCGATGGCAGCCCTGGTGCATCTGGCTCTGGGGTGTGTGTGCAAAGTGTGAGACCCTATATGACACTATACAAAGCTTGCCTTATGTTTCCCTACCTCACACACGTGAGATTTTTTGCTAATCCTAGATTTTATGGCTGTTACCCTTCTCCATCTTCCTTAAGTTTTCCTATTTTCTTGCTGTGTTTACCCAGGCAATTATTCCCTCTGTAATTCATATTCTCCACAAGGGATCTCACGCTGGTGGTGCTTTGCAAGGCTGGACAGATGACTGCTTGTATTTTTCACTCTTAAGTCAACGTCCTGTTCCTTTTCACTGCATCTCAGGAGCAGCCTTTATCACAGGCCACTCAGTGCTGTCACTGCTTAAACCTGATGAAGAATAAACATGCAATTCCTTCAAGACCTGTGACAGTTGTACGGGCACAGCAACCTGACTTGCAAAACAAACATGTAGGAGACATTTCAACAAACTAAATGTAACACCTCCTCTAGCTCAGTTACCAAGACTTCATGTGAGTGTTAAACTAATTTAACTTACATGCCTGGTCTGCAGATGGGTGTGCAACAGTTTCTATCACCCCAGACGAGATAATGCATGAAAAATCATGATGACACATTACTGGGCAGGGAGCAGCTGCTATTATTTACACAATAGAAACCAAATTTACAGGCAGAATTTAACTTGTTCAGTGGATTTACCTGCCCTAGCCGAGAGGTTCTTGGGGACAGACCAAAAAGGGTTTACATCTCCTCTGGTCCCTTGTTTGGACATAAGAACAGGCTAGAGAGTGCCAGCCATGGCCTTCTTAAAATAGGAAGAAACACAGGGAAGGGAGTTCTTGGTTCCTTCCTCTCTGAAGTGCTCACTGAGCATTTGTTATGCTTCACAGGCTACTCCAGTTAGCAGGTGGAACAGGTGACAGAACGGGGAAAGTTCTCCCAGAACCTGCTGATGTGAAACGTAAGTACTGGTCTGATTCAGAGCAGCCAATACACTTCACAAGCAACTTGCTTTTGACATCAGCCATCAGCTGCTGCACAACAGAAGAGGAAAAAACAGCACCAAGACAGAAGTGCAGAGAAACACAGGGAGACTTGTGCACCCTTTTCAGTGTTTATCTATATGTTTGCAAGTGGCAGCAGCTTTAAGACACCAACAGGAAACGTGTCCCCCTACCCCAGTTTGTGTTATAGAGGAAGTGGTTTTGACACACAAACTGCAACAGGTACAGGACTCACTGCTGGGGTGGGCTGACCTTGGCTGGATGCCAGGTGCCCACCAAGCCACTTGTACCAATCCCCTCCCCAGGGGTGTCCCTGCCCATGGCAGGGTGCTTGGAACTACCTTTTTGGGGTTACTTGATGGAGTGGGCTCACAAGCTGACAATAACCTGAAATATGCATTCTTCAGAAGCCCACAAGGCTTAGGAAAGCTAGTGTCTCCTCCTTGTTAGCTGTTAGCATAGTTCTTACCTTGATCACATCCACAGGGACGTGATGACATCCATCTGGTCATTTCATTCCCAAGAATTGAATAGCCATTGGGCTTACCTGTCTTCCTGCTGACTTTTGGCCCCGTTACCCCAGCACTGGGACAACCAGTCAGGAACCCACATACCTGCCTGGTGTCTGTAATCTTTCTGCATGCCTCAAAGTTCTGGTGAAGTCAGACTGGGTAGTTTCCACTTCTTGTCT